AGTTCCAGTGAACAAAGTAAAGGCGCAATGATTAAACTAAAAAATGATCCATTTTTGAATTTGCTGCGAAGAGCAGAAAATCCGAGGCTTACCAAAAACCCCCGAATAAGCAGGGAAGTTGTTTTAGATCATTTACAGGCAGCTGCTGATCAGAACAAGGCAATAAAATCTGATAATGTGTAATAATCGTGGGTGGCTTTGCTGTTCAGTCTAGTCATATTTATTGCCTTTCTTATCTATTTCTCTGATCTCAAGTAAATGTGGCATTTATTTGGATTTGTGCTCGTGGTTACGAGGGACTGATATTTCTCCTTTCAGGGCAGATTTTCTGTTGCTCACTGCCAGGGTAAAACCCTCTTTTGGCTTTAAAGAAAAAGCCTCCTGTCTGTGATGGTCCCTGGGATTTGTTATTTTTGTGGTTTATGGTAAGGTTGGTTTCTGTTTCTTTAGTGCTGTGTTGTTGTTTTTTTTGGTCATTATAACTTCCTGCTTTTGGCTTTATCATTTGAGACTCAGTCTTGTATAACATTTCGCTTTCTGTTTTGACTTTATTTCTTATTATATTATATTATACTGTTCTTTCAAAACTTCTGTTTTATAAATTGTCGTGTTTAAATAATTGTCTGTCAGAAATCAAACAATGGTTAAATGACAATTTCCTCCAGTTAAATGCAGATAAAACAGAGACCTTGATTATTGCACCTGATCACATGCTCTCAGAAATTAAGCAGCATATCAGTTTTTTAGACCCTTCATTTCAGTCGAGTCTCAGAAACGTAGGTGTTATATTTGATAGTTCAATGTCTCTTGAGAAACACTCTAAACAACTTGAACTGTTTTTTATCATCTAAGAAACATTTCTAAACTCAGACTACTGGTGTCAAAGGCAGAACTTGAGATGATTATTCATGCTTTTATCTCTTCTCGTTTGGATTATTGTAACGGTCTTTTTACTTGTCTTAACAAATCAGCTCTGGATCGCCTTCAGTCTGTACAGGATGCCGCAGCAAGACTTTTAACTGGCACAAACAAGAGGTCACACATTACTCCAGTTTTGGCTTCTCTTCATTGGTTGCCTGTAAATTTTAGGGTTCATTTTAAGATTTTAGTTGTAACTTTTAGAGCTCTGCACGGTGAAGCTCCCCAGTATGTCTCTGACCTGCTGAAACCTCATGCTTCATCCCGAGCACTTAGGTCGTCGGGTCAGAGGTTACTGGTGGTCCTGCGTACTAGGTTTAAAACACGTGGGGGTCGGACTTTTCAGGCACTGGCACAGAGGCTGTGGAACTCCCTGCTGTTGTCTTTACACTGTCTAGACTCCATTGAATCCTTTAAAAAGCAGCTGAAGACATTTATAAACAAACAAGCTTTTAATTAATTTTTTCACTGTTTTATATTATTTTATTTGTATTTCTGATTTTATTGTGAAGCACTTTGTAATTTTTATATGTGTGAGAGAGAGAGAGAGATAGCCTTTATTTGTCAGTTGCAGGTCTTTTGCCCACAACCGAGATGACAGACCTTGCCGACCGTACATACAATACACAAACATCACATTGGGGAGACAGGTCAGGCTAGGGGGAAAAAAAACATTGAAATGTGTAACACAAAAGGATAATACAGGAATGCACAGATATCAACACACCATAGCACAATAAACACAGACAAGCAACATGGGAAAGAGTTCCAGTGTGAAATGTGCTATATAAATAAATTTTACTTACTTACTTACCTTCCCACTCGATTAGTTTGTTTCCTTTCTGTTGTCTGTGTGTTTATTCGATATATTTTGGATTGCTTCGTGTTTTGTTGTATAAAAGTTTTCACTGCTGCCTTGTTTCATTTCTGACCTTCTGATTGTCGGATTGTTTCTTGTTCCCATCGAGTTGTAAGTATAGGCTATAAATAAAACAGTCCTCCCTTTCTTCTTCGACATGTCATCTGCTTTGGGTCCATTTCTGTTGTACAGAATTACCTTGTCTGACTCGTAGTGTTTGATTATATCGGAGGTTTTTGGACTTTGTGTTTTTGAATTTATTTAATCGCCAATTAAAGCGAGAGTTTTATTCGAGTTCTCTCCCTCCTGCGTTCTGGATGTTGCGTTTTCCTATCTGCAGCCCACAAAACCACCTTACTGTCTGCTGTCTGGCTTTGCCGAAGAAGTTCATGAACAAGTTTGTGACTGAAAGGCACGTAAACAGATTTATTGCGTATGTCGTGTTTTCCCTTTCACATCACTAAATTTTGGGAGGAAAATATTTAAGTGAATCATAAACGTACCCAGTACGACACATGCAGGCTGCCAAGTTGCTCTTTACATTGAGCGTGTTGAGTGTGTCAGGGTGCGTCCGGTTTTAGTCTCAGTTTTACACAGAGATCAGTCAATAATGAAAGCTGGAAGAAGAACCAAAACGTTTGCAGAGCTCTGTGTGCAAACTGCTGAGTTTGCACACAGAGCTCTGCAAACATTACAAATGTATTCTTAAATACATTTGGCTTTTATTTTTCCTCCCCTTTATTCATGCTTGAATGTTTTTCAAGATTGTATCGTGACTGAGACAGAGCTGAGTTAGCAGACCAGCAAATTGTAAGATTTAGACTTATTCAGCTGTTCAGATTTTGCAGAAATTGTTGTTCTCAGATGACTCTGAGTCAGATTCTTCCCTTTGACTTAAATATCTGCAGCCTCACATGTGGGGGGAAAATGATGAGGATGATACCATGGCATAGTAGTCATGACTTCACCAACTTAAGGATTTCTTAGGGTCTGATTGGAAGTAATGATCTGTGTTTTGATGACGTGCCAGTTTCCAGTTTACACGGCACCCTGGTTTTGCATTAAAGCAGGTTTTCTTGGATAATGCCTGCGCTCCAGATTGTGTGCCAGATTTTTCCAGGGAACAGCAGCCTCTAAGATCCCACCCAGCCCCACCTCAGCTTCTTACAGAAGGTTTGCCCTTACATCACAGTGTATAGATTATCTGTTATCTGCCTTTACTTGAGCTGTCTGTGAAAGTGAAACACATGCATAAAATTTAAAAAAAAAAATACTGTTTTATGCTTGTTATGTTTGCCTAATGAGGACTGTGATCATCTAATTTACAGTGCTCTTGTTGGTTTGCATTATTGAAATAAATTAGTCCACATCGATATTTTTTTACAGGTCATCGGCAAAGGTTTCCAGGATTGTTGCTTTTTGGTTCCCCCTTATTTGCTGATCTAATTTAAGCCTTTTCTTTTAAAATTTCAAAAACATCCAATAATCTTCCATTTTAATGTATAAAAAAAGTTGTTTTTTTTTCACAAACAAATTTGTATACAAATTAATTGGCTTTAGAAATCAACTGTAAACTACTGTGGAACTGCTTAGTTTGAAAAATGATAGAGATGTGAGGTGAGCTTAATGAAAAAGGAGACATTTTCTCAAAGAAAACGTTTGTTTGCGTTAAGAATATGCAAAAACACACGCACATAAAAACACTTTTTCATCTTTAGCAGTGGTTGTATTGTCATAAAAGCATATCATCTAAAGAGGGGATGATATTCTGACCAGTAAAAACCATGAAGTCACAGATTGTTTCAAAAATAATCAGTTAATCAATTCTACTGGATATAAAGAGGGAGTTATATAGAAGAATTTTTTTATAAACTCCAGGAGTTAGACAGCTGGGTATTCCCAGAGTTGTGTGTGATTTTCCACACAGATCTGACAGAAGTTTGTATTTTTAAAAAATGGTGAAGAATTGAAGTCAAAGTGCACAAGGGCAAAGCCTGGAGTTGGGTAAGTCTTTTTTTTTAAACAGATGCTGTCTGGGGTAAAGGTCTTGTGCTGAAAGAGAAGTAGATGGCTGACTAGGTTGCATGCGCTCTTTCTCATTTCTGACCATTACAACAGTTCCTTCTACTGAGAAACGGCCCCATAACATGATGCAGCCTCCACCGTGCCTTAGCATTGGAGTGCTATTAGCCATCTTGGCTTAGAAAAAAAACAACAAGTAATAAAGTGCTGTTGAGATGGTTCTCCTTCTTCTATCCCACTTGTAATTATCTTTTAGACACTTCTTGTACATCCTGGACTCTCAAAAAAATCTGTCAGGAAACCGAGCCAATCAACTGCCAAATGGGGAAATAAAGCAAACATATGAGGTCTTTTTGTGACAACAATTTAAATTTCTTTTTTTTACTGGGTTTAACTACTATGGCTGCTAAATGACAAATTGCTTGGATGCTTCCCTGATTTAGGCCCTTCTTCCCTACATGTAAAATTATGTGATGAGTCTTTAGGGATTTGGTCTTGTTTTAGCTTTCTACAAACCCATCTCTGCTGAGTTTCCTTTTTTAAAATCACATTTTAGTTGTGTATTAGCTTAAAGACAACAAACTACTTTGGTGGAATATTTCCCCGTCTGTTTTGTTGCAGTGTTAATCGCACATCACGTGTGTGACTGTAAACTACAGTAAGCCACATTATTTGGATATCATTCTCTTATTTAAAGCATGTTTTCTTTCACTTCTCTATTTACCACACAAACGTTCATCGCTTTTTGTGCATTTGATAAACGAAACAACAACATGCTGTTTACTGCTGACTCAGGACTTTTTGAGATCATGTAAAGTCACCAGCCGTAGCGAAAAAGCGCACAATCGAGTTTAGTAAAAGATGATGTCGACCAGTGCAACAGATCAGGGCTGAGAGAAGTTACTGGCTCGATGCCATTTGAAATTTTGTAAACATGCTAGCTTTTCCACAAAATGAAGAACCTACAAAAATTTTAAAAAAGAATTTAAAAAAAGACCCTTTCTTTTTTTTAAATTAAATGTTACTGGCATAAATGATCTCTTGTCAGGAACACTCAAAGTGTCACTTCCTCTTACTCTTGACACCAGAGAGAAGCTGTTGCTGCTTTGATTGCAGTCTAGCTGATGCCTTAACTATGACCTTTCTCTTTTTCATGCACACACACTGAGCTAAAACAGAAACCACTGCTGTATCTGAACTGTTACATGTATTGAAAAAGGAGATTTTAATTGCCGCGTTCATAGATTCTGCAAACACCAGTTTCTTATCACTGCTTTCACTATGCAGCTTTTCCAGTAACAATGATGTACTTTCTCTAAAAGAATTTTGAAAAAACATATTGCACAGTAATGAAAGTGACAAACAAGACAACAAAGAATACAAAATTATAATTTGTTGCACGTCTATAACTTCCCAAGCATCACTTTGAATACACATCATCATGCAGTACATACATTCTGCAGCATATCTGGGCTTATAAAAAATCTAAATGCCTATCTCGCTCTCTCTCTCTCTCTCACACACACACACACACACACACACACACACACACACACACACACACACACACACACACACACAAAACTCTTGCCTCATTTGTTAAAAATCTAACTCATGTACAGTGTTTCTTTTTTGGTCCCAATATTATTTTTAAACTCAGTACTTTGCAGGTTGTACTTGAAGCTTTCGAACTCCTTCATTCCCAACCGTTTGCCTGAGCACGGGGCAGTGTCCTGGGCTGGCCGTGACCAGCACCCTGCAACCTGTTTGTTCACTTAGAAACTTCCTTAATGAGTCGTCGAAATATTGGTTTCCTTCTTTGTAGTTGTCCAACAAAAGCAGAGCCTTGCCAGATGTGATTAAAAGAGTTCTCAACTTTTCTGTTGATATATTTTTGGTGAGTGAAAGCTGAGTTGTTATCTCCTGAAACAAGTCGTCTTTCACGGAGCTGCAGTCAACATATAAGAGAAGATGAAGTGCGCTGAGGTCGAGGAAGTTGGAAAGGGAATCTGTGGGCCATTCAGTCCAGGATGAGATCAGGATGTGGGCTACAGTTGTTTTCCCGCTTCCGGGAAGTCCCTCAAGGAAAAATGTCTCACCAGGACCCGGGAGTAAAGCAGGAAGATTCACAGGGTGGCCTTCACTGAAAATAAAAAAAGCAAAGTCGAGATTGTGAAGTCAACAAAACCCCAAACAAATTTAGAGCATGGTGTGGCTGTGAGGTTTAAGTTCTTTTTCGAGATCCTGGGCTTATTACAGATTACTTTTACTTTACCTCACAGTGACTTCTGCATAACAACGTTTGCATTTAAAAACTTTACTGCGATACATCGTCATGTACTGTAGCTATCAGTGCATTCAAAAAATGTTCTTGAGCTGAGCTTCACAAGCTCGCTCACTGATTTCGCAACTGCTGCCTTGGATAAACCGATAGCCATGACAATGTCAGTCAACTATCATAAATTAGCATTAAATAGGCAGAAGTACTGTTCGCAAACACAAATGTAGGAACAAAAAAAAGAAAACAAAAGCCTTGCCATGCCATGGTCATTCCCTTTTGTGTATTATAAAAAGTTTTTAGCTGTCACAGGAACTGTGTTTAAACCCAGCATTATATAGTTTCATTAAGTTAAATCTGTAAGTAATCGAAGGCTGTGGCTGAATATACAACACAAATTTAGTTGAAGTCCACACAGTAAATTAATTGTGACCATAAACTTGTCTTTATGAGTGACTTATGTATGTATATATACGTATATATTGTACTATTCTTAGTTAGTGTATTGTTTGTCTTGTCTTAATGTTGGTTTATAATGGAGCACTGTAACAAAAAATAATTTCCCCCAGGGATCAATAAAGTATTCTGATTCTGATTAATAACCCCTAAAAATACAATAACCTCATTATTTTTTAAATGTGCTATCCATTACTGTAGATTCATAGAGGATGGTGTTACTGCTAACAAGGACCACTACCTAATAGAACACTAATTGAGATGACTTCATGTAGCACGCCACACACAGCTCTGCACAATGCTGGGTGGTTGCAAGTAAACGAAAAGAGGATTCATTGTATGCGATTTTCTGGAAAGAAGAACAATTTTTTTTTAAGGCTGCGTGTACGGGAAATGATATCGGATAAATGCATAGTCGTCTATTTCCCAATCATTTTGGACGCATGTATTTATGACTCACTTGTTTTGCAGTCTGCGAGGCAGCTCCTCCGCACTGAAAGTGGTGCATTGATTCCTTCGCTCTGCACTGAGAAAGCTTTCTGAGTAATGTGTTTTCACATTCAACCCCAGATTTTCCTCAACGTCGCCTGGAGACAAAAAGAAGTCCAGTCAGTCATTTGCTGAAGATGTGAAATATCCTGCAGGTCTTTCTTTTCAGATAATCTTTCAGTGGCACATAAATCCTGTAAACTATATTTCTCAACTTGATAAGCTACCTACCTTCATTACAAGGAGCTATCTCGTTCTCATAGTTGTCGTCATAACTTCTCAGACCTGACAGGACGGAACAGCATTGTTAGAAATATGACAACACGGAGGACAGTAAGATAAAAAGAAAAACACTGAAGAACTCAGTTTTATTTATAACCAGTGTAGAAATTCAACAGCAAAACAGCAATAAAAACATAACCACTGAACTCACGGGAAGCAGCGGTAGAAGCAGGTCTTTCCAGGAGGTTCCTGGTGCTGTGAGTGCTGTGATTGTGGGACCCTGTAACAAAAAAGTGCACTTTAATGCAACGTACTGGTACAGCAGGTGATGTAGTCTTTAAGCACTGATACACTGAATGTATGGAGGTTGTTGGGTTTGGTTTGTTTTGAATTATACATTCTTTAATTGATCTTATATTTGCTAAAATAGGTACGTATATTTATACCTATATCTCTGTATTTCTCTATATTTTTGTATCGATATGTCTGTTTCTACACTTTATTTTAAATCAGTGCTTGGTGCAATGGCAGATATGATCACTCAATTTCCCTCTGGGATTAATAAAGTCTCTGTGATTCTGATTCTAATATTTTGGCTTTGAAGTTTCAATTATTCCTCAAAATGTCCAATATTATCATATGCTCTTGAAAGCACCACAATAAAGATCCATGCCTTCCTGATAACTGTGTGACAGTTTCCTGATCTATCTGTAAGTAAAACGTCATTTTTACACATTCATATGTGAAAATATGTTTAATAAGTTTTCCAGTGAACTTGAGTGAGGTGTGTGAACAATAATATAAACTCGTGCTGAAAAAATCACCCATGCGTTTACAATTAGCTTTGAATTCCCCTTGTAGATAAACCAAAACCACACTGGGTGTTTCCCACAATCTAGCCGGTCTGGTCTGATAGTTGCGAAACGCAGTAGAATGTAAAAAGCTAAGTCATGGTCACACGAAAAAGAAAAAAAAACACTGCAGGTCACATGCTAAAGAATTTCCAGCAAAGTTTTGTTCAAATCACAAGCATTATAGAACAAATCGGACAAGAACCTCCTGAAACGTTCACAGATGCTTCCTCTTTTACATGACCTACAGTGTCACCAGTGTTCCCGGGAGTATGCATGTGTTGTTTTCTTTTCTTTTTTTCCCAGTCAGAGCTGCGCAGCCTTTGACACAGGAAAGATACGTTTTGCAGTGCTGAGTAATGAATTCAGATTGTCTGTGAGCTGTTTGGCACAAGACCAACAACAAAGTTTTGGTTTTTCTTGGGCATTAAAGTTAAAATCATTTAGCCGATGTCAGCTCTGTCGTTGCACATTTTATGCAGTTTTACTGAATGTTTAAAATGAAACCAGAGCGAGCATTTGCAGCGAGGTGTTAAATACTTTGTCTGTTTTTGTGGCAAAGGGAAATGCAGGTTTGCATTAAGATCACCTACATGTTGTATTACAGGTTTTGCAAGATGACTGGCTTTCATTTTGAATTTGTTTCTTAAATATCTTGCAAAGTATCCATTGTTTGAGATAACTGTTTTTATCTAAGCCCATTATTCAAGATAACTGCTGCTATCTGTGGTATTTTAACACCTCACTAAATTGTTACCCATCATTTTGTTTGAAACCAACATTTCTGTCTGCAGCACGACACAGGATATGTAAGCATTCCTGTCTGTGCTGAACTGAGGGACTGATTGGTTACCTTTTCGTCGTCGATAGGTGACCACTCCGACAGAGACGAATGCCACTATCACTGCTATGCACAGTATAATGATGACAGCATCACTTTTTGCAGGACTAAGTGGTATTTCATCTGTGAAAAGAGTCAAAACATTGTGGGATTAGTATTTCATGGTAATATCTATGCTTTAGCAATTTTAGCCGCTCTGGAAATAACCAAACATACCAAAGGCATATAACCACAAACTTCCCCTTTGCTGGTCAAGGACAAAACCTTATGGCAGCTATAGTGCCTCGTTATGCTGGTGCAATGGCAGATATGATCACATAAAAATATCTTCTTTCACATATTTTATGTATTTATTTATTTGTTCTTGTATTAAAAATACATTTCTCTTACTCTAGCATTGAACATTTTATATGTATAAGAAATGAATTAAAATATATTTCTCATTTCCCTCAACAGGATCATCATTAAACCCTTTTGTGTTTATCATTACAATATGACTTACAATAAAGCTTCCTGTGGGAAATACCGCATGGGAAAATGTGGCTAGTTTTTCATCAAAGAAATAAATATGACACACGCAAAGCAAATTAAAAGTGAAACGGTTTCGATACGTGTTATGATTAAATATATATTTTTTCCATATTGGTGTGAAAACAATGAGCACCCTACATGCAGACACGGAAAAGTCTCACATTTGAAGATTTGCTACGCACCTACATCCACACACCAGACACACACCACCCACCGGCTTCACAGAAACACATGGGAGGGTTTTTGAATTCCAGGAAAGCGGTGGAAAAAGTGGGGGAATCATATCTACATATCTAAGTCTCTGCAGTTTGATGTAGGGTGAGGATAAAAGCCAACATGTACAAATCAAAATTCTAATCATAACAGGAAGTTGGTGATGAAAGGAACACAGGTTATGAGAACATATTTCCTGTGGTAGCTTTGAACATTTAGAGCTTCACTTAAACTTTAGTGTCGTCTGCTCTTTTGGGGACTGTTTAAAAAAAATCTATTTCACTTTCTGATCAGTTAAACAGGCACAGTATGTAATGTTGGAGCCTTTTCTCTCCTTTTTTTTAAAGGAGGCACACAGTACAGCTGGATGATTCCCACCTGGAAAAGCTGGGATTATGTTACATCCCCCTTCCTGTTAAATATTGTGAGTATTGTTTTGGAAGAAATCCACTTCTGCAACGCCTTCCTGAAAGGAAGCCCTCCTTTTGATCTCAAAGGCACAGCTATAAGCTGCATCTAACTCTCATGCACACGCAGGAGGACATGTAAATACCATGTACCATTTCAAGACTGGAAACGAACGCTTACCTGGAATATAAATTGTTGCAGAGCTGCCGTCTTTTGTAAATTTACAGGTGTAGTTGTTTTTTTCTGATGAGCTGACTTTTATCTGGCTGGTGATTCTAAAAATCTGGTCTGGTGTTGATTCAGCAGTGGTGTTGGGATTGAGTGTCTTCAGGTTTCCATTCTGCCATTCAACCGTTGACTTAGGGTATCCCTCAGACTGGCAGGTTATCAGGACCTCATCACCTGTTGCTGCCCTCTCAATGTGTTTGGTCACTGATTTATAAGATGCTAGGGAAGAAAATGACGTTCTATTGTAACACAAGATTGATAACAGCATGTGCTGAGTTTGTCAAAGATTGTTTTCTTTTTTCTTTTCTCTCTTTTTTTTTTTTTTTTTACAAAATTGACTAATAGTGGTCTTTATTTCATTTTCAGTTTGAGTGAAACTTTAACTGGCCAGAAATGACCATGCGCTTTGGCAGTTACGAGACCATTCCCAGAACAATGCTTGTGAAATCTTCAGAAAAGAAAAGTAACAGGCCTACACTGCAACACATGTACTTCTCACCTTCAACAGACAAGGCTATAGTTTTATAGTCGGCTCCATCCGCTGAATGAACCACACACTGGTACTTCCCGGCGTCACTGATTCTAAGACTGGACATCTGTAAAGTGACAAAAGAACAAGAGTCCTCTGTTATGCCCTCTTAAAGAAACCAAAATGGAAAACTTTTCAGCTCTATCCCTCCCTCTGCCTCTCTTATTAGGGTTTTATTCTGTACTATAATATAAAAAATTTAACAGACTTAGTCATTTTATGAGTATACACCCCTGTAAAGTTCCAGTAAAGTTATCCTGTGGCACTTTCTAGGGAATTTAAACCTGTTGAGAGTAATTTTTAAAAAGATGAAGAAAAGCTGGCAAGTTTAAACAAGCTTAATACTCGGAGTAAAGTTAGTAGGAATTAAGTGGTAAGCCGTCCAACATGTGTTATGTAAGTCTGAGTAGCTCAGTGCCAGGAATTACCTTCAGCTTAGCCCAGCCTTCCGCCAGCTCCTCGGTCAGAAGCTGCACTCGTCCCCGATACTTTGGAGATTCCGAGCGCGGCACGCCATTATCCAGCCGGATCACGTCCTGAACGGAGTCAGAGTTGATCCAGTGCCAGGTCACGTTCAGGTCAGGATGAGGATAGGAGGGTTTAGGGTTGAACTTGCAGCCCATCACGACACTTTCTCCAAACTCTGACGTATACATGCTTTGCTCTGCCTCAACAGTGAATAAGACTGCACGGAAATGACACAAAATAATGCCAAGATGAAGGTAAACACTCCAGTCTTAAAATGTTTACAAGCATCTTATACTTTTTACATAATCTCACTCTGCAGCTGTAAGTGCCTCACGTGTCAAATATGTAGTTATTGTTCTGACTTTGCTTCTACATATCCAAAAAATGTATTTACCACCCACCTGAGAGAGAGGGCTGAAATAACACTTGTAAAACTATAATAAGGGCCCAGTCCATTGAGATCTGAGGATGAAAAAAGGGATTATTACCAGATGCTGAGATTCTTTAGTGATGAAACATGAGTCACTTTACCGAAGAAAACCAGATGTGCAGTGTGACCTTGTTTGCCTCTTAATTTGGCAAAAAGCTGTGTGACACTATATCACATGGTAATCCCAATCTAGCATGACTCAGCTCCAAAGAAGTACTTCCCTCTTCTTTATCTTTTATAACAGGAAAAAATAACACAGGGAAGTTTTTGTTTTGACACTGAAGCCATGCCAGCACACTTCAACCGCACCATCCTCACATAACAGCCCACCTCTCTACATAAAACATCTTTCCACCACACCATTATATCTGGAAGTGTAGCTGTACCAGGCTTCTATGGAAAAAATATAACTTAACAGCAACTGCAAATGTGTACAAGAGCATCTTTGTTTGCTTACACAGTAAGCAACTTTGATAGGTGAGTAAGTAGGATATAAATAGACATTTTCTCCGGGATTTCCTCCCCAAGTGGAAAGACAACTACAGTTCTGCAGAACTCTGATTGTTAAGATCTGTCATCTGTTTGGTTAACCATAGTCTTATCTGATACGTGATAGTAAGGGAGTTTTAGAGTACGTGTATGCATACACAGATAAATCAGATGAGTCGAAACAGAATCCAAAGACAAAAATAAATGTTAACGTCAAAAATAGATGGCCCGTGTAAAAACAGAAAAAATGTACATGGCTCATTTGTACATGCAAAAAGATACAGAACATAGAATATCTTTACATTATTATTTTTTATCATTATTAATATTGTTATTATTGATGGTGTTGCTCTAGTGTTAAAAATATATATGTGTATATATATATAAATTTTTGAGTTGTCCTAAATAAATAATATGTCCTCTTACCTGTAGGTCATTCAAAAACAGCCAGCTGTGTTCTCATTAGTTATTTCCTTCTTCCTTGAGCTCTAAATGTGATCTGAACTCCCTCCGTCAGTCCCTTCGAACAGTTAAGGCAGGAGAAGTGGCCACGCCTCCTTCCTTTACTGTACTCAGCTCAACTTCTTTATGAAATTACGGCGTGTTTTTTCGTGGAAAGCTTAGACGGCTCGAAATTAACTCTCCGCTGCTCACACGGAAGCTGACTTGTGATTACTGTAACACACCGATAAAGAAGCGATCAAAATGTTCCCGACAGTAAACTCCTCCAAATATAGTGGCTCAAACATTAATGATCAGCAAACACATATTGAGCAACATTCGAGTCCTGTAGCTTGTGTCCGAAACTAATACTGGTTAGTTTTTTGTGGTTTTTTTTTAACGCACTTGTTTCTGTCTATGTGGTCAGGACTCCCAAACTATGGCGTCCTTTATCGGGAATTTTTTATACTACCTTAGTATCACCCAGTTTGACCACTTACTGTAAATATTAATCCAGGTAAAACTCATAACAATATCATCATTAGTGATGAAAGAGTTAGCAAAGATATCCTCTACTTAAAGAAAATAGGCTGTGTAAATATTTTAGTGTAAATAATAAGTAAAATTCCAGCAGCAGCACCTGAACTCTCGGTCTAAGGTCATAATCCTAACTCTATAACTTGGGGGAAAGAATCAAGAAGGACTTTTTTCTTAGAAAATGTATTTATTTATTTATTTAATGTACCACTTATAATGGCTAATGGTTACATTTCTCTGGTTATCAAGACTTGAGAAAACTAATTAACTACTACCATGGGTTGTGGTTAAGATCAATCAATCAATGATGTCGTTGGCTTTTTTTTATACTTTGACTCAGGGTTGAAGCACCAAAAATTAAATACTATACTATAATACTTTGTAATTTTTGTTCATTGTCTTCATAGATGTTCTTTTTAAACTGCATGTAACTATTTTAATTTCAGTATGCTAAGTTAAATATTTATCATTTACAAATTGCTTATTAATAGCACAGTATCACTTTATTAGTAACTTATTAATGCTTTATCCTTCCTTTCCATACTTAACACCAGGAGGGCCAGTACCTAAGGTTTTCCCCTCTACTACATCATAGTAATACGCTGTTGATGGTAAGTAATGAGCAAGACATGATCTTATTAACCTCAGCTCAGTGTTTGCCATACTCATTCCCCTTAAACGTGTTTAGTATAGTTTATTATCACGTAACACCTCTAAAAACTACAGTTATTAATAGTGTCTCTGTAACTCTTTGATTAAGTTTTTAACTCAGAATCTATCCATCTATCGATCTTCTTTTCTGGATCTGGGTCATCAGAGTTGAAGTCTAAGCAGAGACATATCCCCTCCTAGGCCACCAGGCCAGTGTGTCCTGGGTCTCCCCCATGTCTTCTTCCCAGCAGGACATGCCTAAAAACCCCTCACCTAGGTGGCTATGTGTCTACACGTTTACAGTCTATATGTGTTTTGTGGGCTTGGAGAAGACATTTGACTCCACCAGGGTGTTGCTCATTGTTTCAGTTCCAGTTAGAGCTTGGTTCTTGTGCTGGCAGTAAATCAGGCACATTCCTGGAAGAAGTTGGATCCCACCAAAGCTTCTCTACTAAAGTTTTACTTTTTCAGTATTACTAATGACGGCAACAATAAACAATATCCAGAAAGAAAAAGAATAAGATAAAATACATAACTACTTGATCTAAATTAGGTTGGGTTGCAAAATTCATATAGCAAAGCCAACGTATTAGTTTTAAGGGGATCATTCAAAGTCAACCAACAGACCGATTGACTGATGAAGTTGTGTAGTGATCATGCATTAAGACCATGAGAAGAGCTATAGGTGGGTGCTGAGTCCACCTTTGGTTGTGAAGCTGTTAAATGAGCTCTGAAAGTACTGCTGCCTCAGCATTTCTTATCCATCCATCCACCCGACTGTGAGAGGAAGCAGGAATACCCGGTGTAGACCCACACACGGGGAGATATGGGGAGAACATTCAAAGTCCACGCAGGACCCAAACCCAGGACCTTCTTGCTGTGAGGGGACAGTCCTAACCATGACAGCACTATGCCACCCTAACATAACAGCTACTCTGATGAGAAGTATTGCATATAAACACAAAAGCCATAGTGCAATATTAACAAGTAAATTTAAACAAAGCAGAATTTTGCCCAATGAGTTTAAGCCACATGTATTTGACTCAATACCCCAGAGCAGTCAATACTGTGGAATTTTCATTTGGCATGTAAATGTATTTGTAAAAAAGTACCGTTTAAATCAACACACGCGCAAAACCAAGATGTTTACACAACACTTAACAAGTCATGTGCTGAAAGCTGGAAAGCTGGAGTTGAATGAAATAACCTTATCTGAGGGAATTTTTACCTGCATGTCAAGTCATCCCTCATGTGGAATATACAGCAGGGTGTCATCCAGACATTATCCTGTGCCAACCTGCATAACATCGAACCATAAAACATTTCTGGGTTTCCCATGTGCTTACCTCTTGGCTGAATCAGGAATATCAGCTAATGTGACGAGAAGCTTTATTTTCACAGTCTTTTTCACTTACGGAAAACAGGTAAAATAGCTGTCTGTCTGTAAAAGGTACTATGACAAAGACACGGTGTTGGTGAGGCAAGGATATCTGAAACACTGACATGACATCTTTTATTTATTTTTCCTTTAAATGTAATTAATTAAAATTATTAATAAGTAAATTATTGTATTCAAAAAGAAAAATAAACAGATGTAATATGGAGAAGTTTTGTCCGCAGTGACGACCGTTCACACATGTACTTAACACTGTGACTTCTCTGTGTGACATATCTCTACACGGTTTATTTAAGTTAGCATTTGTCATGTGAAGTTGCCAGGAAGGTGACAGATGAGAAGTTCCCACTGCCGTTGTAATTCACTGATGGTACATGATAGCTTGGCTTGATATGAGTCACTGCAGCATGAAACTATCACATAAGTCCAGTTCATTTTGCTTTTGATTCATGAATTCAGAGGGGAAAACTGAAGAAGAACAAGCATGGGATGCTATTTTTCCCGCAAATTCATGGTAGGATCATGTCACACCTGATGGCTCAGGTGGTTCAAAGTCCAAAAACTCCAGCCGTGACTAGATGAAATTTCATCTGGCAGTTTAACTTCTGTTTCACTTTCAGGAGAGAAGAAGTTTCAGAATTCATCAAAGTCCACCGCAGCTCTGAGTATATCTCAAACTATATCACTACTAGTGCTAAATTAATGCTACTCCGTTATTCAAATACAAGAATAAATAAAACTGACAGGAATTCATTTTGAAAGTCAGTCCCTCTCTCTGCTGGTCATGTATCCACCATCCACACTGTTAAATATTTAGCTTACAAATTGGTGTCATATGCATTAATATATGTATAATTTTCATTGAATCTTGAATGATCTTCCATTGATGATCATTCAAGATTAAAACTATATTGTCAATGATTAAAACAAAGCTATCTGAAGTAAAACCCTTGTATAATTAACCCAGTTACCATTCAATCCAAAGGTTTTAAGAGACTACTAGGCTGCTATATTATTATTAGTAGTAGTAGTATTAGTATTATTATTATTATTATTATTGCTTTAATAAAAACTCTCCACCACCCGGAGTTTACGTATCTTAAATCAAGCCATTCATTCAACGAGTCAACGTGTAACGCTACTATTTAAGTGACCCATGAGAACCAATAGAGGGAGCCAAACTACACCATCTAAGTCACTTTAGCCTTCAAGTAATCATTCTGTCCCTTCCTATACTTTGACAAAATCATCATAGATTTGTTTTGTTTTGGTTGATCTTGTCAACTTGCTTTTGTGTTTGTTTTAAAATAAGTGTTTTACAAATGTGACTAAAATTAAAACTGAAATGAAAAGCTATAAAAACTATTTCCTGTGTGTTTTAATTGTATTACAGTCTTTGTTGTTGTTGTTTTCTATTATTTATGTTTTATTATTTATTATTTTCATTTCGTTCAACTTACTCTTTATATTTCGAATGCAAATAAATGAATGAATAAAACAAAAAAAACAGTTAGTTTAGCCGGAAGTAAGACGTCATTTCCTTCCGTTAAAAAGGCAGTGCGCGTGGCTTTTATTTCGACGATCCACTCCGGAGTCCTTTCCCCAGCATTTAGCTTACAGTCTTCAAAGTGTTTGGGGTATGTAAAGCTTTTATTTTAAGTTCTCCAACTTGTCATGAAATATAAAAGTTTATACGGACAACAGTTTCATTTAGGTTAAAGACAGTAGTCGTGTTGTTATTCGCTAACTTAACGGGAAAGCTTAAAATGAGTTGAGGCTTAAAGCTAAAGCTGAAGTGAAGAGACACTGAAGGACTGAAGAGGTCACTACATGCTGAAACAAATCCAGTTTGAAGCAGGTGGCTTTTCTAAGCCCGACTCTGGAATTTTGTTTGCTGTTGTGATGAGAGCAGAGCAGCACGTTTGAATGACTGCGTGTTTAATTCACAGAAACGCCAACGCAGCCATGGGTATCCTGCTGTCCAAATCCATGGATGACAATTTTAAAAAGCAACAAGAATTCATGCTAACGAATGCACGGCTGCAGGTGAGTGAAAGTGCACCCACTCGCACATCACCTCTGACCTCTGCTGTGACATCTTTCACTAGTGAAAGATGGTGAAAGTGAAAAAGCAAAAAAAAAAAAAGCAGATTTTTAATTATTTTTTAACACATAAAATTGCCCCAAACCTTCCCACCAAAAGGTTTTACCTTCATACTTTGAAATTGTACTAGTTGCAGATGCTGAAATGATGTCGGACTAAGTTTAAATTGTGCACTTGTTTATTTGCATTATTTTTGTATCAGCTCCATGAGTACAGGAGACATCCACAGCAACTGTAGGTCTGCAAACATTTTTAATCTCTATGACTACAACCAAATCCATTTAGACCCACTACTTTCCCACTACTCTCTGGAGGAGGTAATTAACTACACTGCTCATTGTCTGAGTAGTGTGATCACTGTGCGTTACTTCCTTTGTCCCACACACTGACACAAACCCCTGTCCTAATGACGACACGCATACTATCTTTCTTTTAGTGTTTAAGTATTACTACACACCAAAGTCAAAAACCAGCCCAAAGTGATTTCACAGCAGGTACCACTGTGATTCTACTTAAAGAGGAAACTTGCACAGGTAGAAAAAAAGTTTGTTACCCTGGTGAAGATCATGCTATGGCTTCTGGACTGGGGTGAGCATACACTCAGCTTTAACCTCACTCTTCCTCAATTTTTAGTCACAAAAAGAAATTCTTCTGTGGAAATACACCACTGGGCTCAGATGTTCATATTGCTGTCTTAAGCAGGAGGAACTTTCTTTGGAAAGATGGAGTCAAAGAGGGTCAAAGCTTTCTGAAATCTTTCCAAATTACTGTAACTGTAAGATGCTTTTTTAAATGCCTATTTTCAATCCCCTGGCAATATTTCAATAGAATTGAAATCTTAGCATTGGTTAGGCACCTCAGGTCCTTGAGTCCTTTCTTTGTGGATTTACTAGTGCATTTAGGAACATTACTCCATATCCAATTTTGGATAAATCATTTTTAAAAGCATGAGAGCATACAGAGTGCCCAAAAGTCAAAGTTTGCAAACATGCAAAAAAAAAAAAAACCTTAATCCACAAAAAAACCCTAACATGAAATATTTTGCATTCATCAGGAATACCTGCTGCACATATTTTCCGCATGTATTTGCTCTGCTTTTCTTTCTCACATGTTACATCTGTTTCTTTTCCTTCTTCCAATGTGTAGATCATGATGATTTGTGTGCATCTGTTTTCAAGTTAGTGTCCCGCTTTGTGTTCATACTTGCACCCTTCACAAATGTCACCCTCAGACTGCGTTGGTTCATTTCTGCTTTTTCCAGTCCTGTCCCAGAGTCACAGTCTGCTGCTTGTCTGAGCTTGCCAAAACCAAATCTTTTCCTTTTGATATTCCCACCAGCAGATATGTTTGTCTAGTTTTGAATTGCACATCTACACTAATAGGGCTAATTTATCACTTATGGGTTCGTAGCTATCCCATACAAACAGCCTGTAGAAACAGAAAATGGTAAAGAATGTTATACAAAGACCCTGAAGTCTTTAATGTAGATGACACATTATCATTATTATTGTTGTTATAAGTGTTCATTATTATAAACACTCATGAGTCATTTGGCATCAGCACAAAAATGAGAGGGAGATGGGCAGAATATTGAAGGAGCAGAGGCAGTGAAAGTGGATGAGTTTAAATAGCATCCAACCATCCAAAGTAACAGTGGGTGGAGACGAGTGTCAGCGGTAATTTGTGATGGATAGTTGCAGACTGAAAGGAAAGGTTTTTAAGATGCTATGATGTGTGGTTTGGAAAACTGGAGGTGACAGAGTTGAAGATGTTAAGATTTTTTTGTTTGGAGTGACCATGAAGGACATGATTAGGAATGAGTACATCAGAGGGCCATTTCAGGTTGAGCGCTTTGGAGACAAACTAACTAATAATGTGAAACTGGTGGCTGAGCAAAGATGTGCAGTGATCTTTACTTATGTTACGTATTTGTGTATATGGGCATATTGAACTGCTTCATTTTTATAAGATGGAGACCCTGCAGCATCTATGTACTTAGATGCTGGAGTGAGTTTCAGGATAGTTTATTCAAATTTAACATCCTCTATCTTCCATTTACTTCCTTTTTTGTGACCCAGATGAAGCCGTCATGAAAGCTGACCTTTCAGCGAACGTGTCACCCCATTTCCCGTTCCTGCAGCTCATACACATGGTGTGGAGGAGCGGGAAATGCTTTCTTTTCATAAATGCATTCTTCACTCATTCACAACATGGGCCGTTAAAGGGGGACACCCTTAAGTGTGCTCAGACTACTCACTAGTTTGTTTCAGCGGATGCTGGCTTTAAAAGAACAAACACTGTCAATTACAGAAGTCATTCCTGTAATTTCCATTGAACCTAAAGAGTGTACAGCCAAGAGTCGATGTCAGGAGTACGAAACACCCAGATTGTGGAGATGAAAAGTTTGTCACTTCCTCCTTCCCTAGAGCGTAGTGTTTGTAGTTGGCATGTTTACAGCAGTGGATTCCAGGGTTTAGTTTCATGACTTAAAAAAAATTCCAAAGAAACTTCTCAAGCATACATAGAAGTTCAGTCTGTGCTCCCAACTAATCACATCTCTGTTCACGTAATGTACACTTCCTACAAGTTTTTAGGGGCTTTTTTTTAAAAAGTACTAAGCCTTTGGTGCTTATGGAGATCTCTTTAAACTGTCTGTACTCTCATAAAACAATTAACTGATGAATCAGATGATTATTACAGCTCTGATCAACAGTAATTGACTGAAATTGATTATAACTGAAAATGAAATCTTACCAAGCAGGGAAAATTTTATTTCATCATTTCTTCTTAATTTATTTTTGTGTGTCTGTGTGCGCGCGTGCATGTGCCCAGATGGAGCGCCAGATTCTGATGCAGAACCAGATGAGAGAGCGGCAGATGGCGATGCAGATCGCCTGGTCCAGAGAGTTTCTGAAATACTTTGGCAGTTTCTTTGCGGTGGCCACAGTGGGACTAACTGCAGGGTTAGATTCTAACACCTCACAAAGATCTGACACAAACACACACAGACTCATCTCTGTGTTGTGCTTTTATCTTTGCAGTTAAATATTGTCTTCTATTTATCATCATTTTTCTTTAGAGCTATTAAAAGAAAGAACCCAGGCATGCTGGCTCCCATCATACCTCTCAGTTTCATATTTGCCTACCAGATGGACAGCGCCTATGGAACGCTTATTAATCGTATGAGAGGTAAAGCTACACACTTACAGGCATCATCATCTTAAGGAAACCTGTTTAACATTTAAAAAGAGGGTGCACAGACGGGTAAATAAATCCTTATCAAGCATTATATAGTGATTCTTTGCTTTGGTTTTTGAGGATTATTTTACTTTGAACAGCAGAACACAGACTCACTATATCCAGAAAACACAGGCTCTAATATACAGTTAGGTCCATATATATATTTAAATACGTGAATAGTGTCTGTTTACCAAAACAATTTCCACTTTCCGCTATGATGGGCATCTATATAATGTGTAGACGCCCAGCTTTCATATGAGAAAATCCACATTCAAATCGGATGAAGGTTTTGGAGTTCCGGCCCCTTAACGTGTGCCCCCCCGCTTTTTAAAGGGACAAAAAGTAATTGGACATTTGACTGAAAGGCTATTTCATGGGCAGGTGTGGGCACTTCCTTTGTTATGTCATTATCAATTAAGCAGATAGAAGCCCTGGAGTTGATTTGAGGTGTGGCGCTTGCATTAGCACGATTCAAATGAATACATTTTATTTTATTTGTCCAGTTACTTTTGATGTCCTGAAATGATGGGATTGCATTTTAGTTCTCACATTTTTGTGCAATCTTTTTGTTCAACCCACTGAATTAAGGCTGACAGTCGGCAGTTCAACTGGATCTGAGTTAATTATATTTAAAGTTGTTATATTTAAAATTAATTGTGGTAATGAACAGAACCAAAATGCTAAAAAAGAAAAAGTCTCTGTCCAAATGGACCTTACTGTTTACCAAATAATGCATCTAAATGTTTAACAAATATTGTGTTTAGTTATTCATTAATGACATTTTTAAAAAAGATTGCAGTCACTAATTATACCCATTAAATGTGTTTTTCATGATGTCTTTAGGGGAAGCTGAGAATATCATGGAGACTGAAAATGACCGTCTACAGTTACCTCAAGGGACTCCAACCTTTGAGAGCATAGAGAAGGCCCGCCGTGCTAAAAGCAGCCTCAGCGCCTTCTTGGAGAAATAATGTAATTAGTTATTGTCTAACAGCGTGGTTCCAGAGAGGAGCTGCAGCCACTGTACATTTCGTTTTCAACAAACCACAAAGACGGGGAAGTGGCTCACAAAGAAACCTCAGGTTTAGCTGTCCAAAACATACCCACTCCCTAAACGATACACAACTATACTTTATGTAGCATTAAGGTAAAAGCGGCCTCAGCTCCTTCTTGGAGAAATAATGTAATAATTTATAGAACAAACGTCCTCTATCATGGAAAATTTTAAGGCTCTGCTATTTCTCTCTGTCAGGTTGACCTTATTGAACGAAAGGCTCCTTATTCTGTCTCATTTCAGTCTTTCAGATACACCAATCGGGCATTACATTATGACTACCTAACTAACACTGTGTTGGTCGCCCTTTTGCTGCCAAAGCGGCCCTGACCCATCACATGATATCTGGCACCAAGATGCCAGGTGTGGCCTCCGTGTTGAATAGTCTGAATCAGTGTTACTCACTTTGCTAGTGGTCATAATGTTATGCCTGATTGGTGTATGCCACATGTTGATCCATGAGTTAAGTTTTATTACAGTGTTATAAGAGCATTGTGTGACCACAGCAGATAACTTGTCTCTAAATATTGCACAATTGCAGTTATATCATCAGTGTTTTCTTTAGGTTGTTATTTTCCAGGGTTTGCTTTGATTATGTATGATGGACTTGAAGGGAAATTGATAGTAATATTAATCAGTTTATGTTATCTCTCTGGGGGGTTTTGTTGTATTTAGATGAACAAGAATACCAGCTGCTATAAGCCTGGTTCATGAATGTAATGATGATGATTGAACAAAGTGGTAAGACAATGATTGTTGGTCAAAGCTGCAATTAGACCAGTGCAGAGCAGAAATTCTCTTAAACACTCTTCATAACAGCTCATTTTATCTGGCTCTTATGTGTAATACGTCGCCTTTAAAAAGCTCCTGAAACACTGATGACTGTTGCAGGTCACTTGCCTCTCTGTTTAGATGATCGACTGTATGCAAAAGATGGACGTAGCATCCAAACCCTCCACTTTTTCTCCTTTACATTCAGCTCCTGCTGTCCTGGAACAGCAAAGGCTTGCCCTTTCTTTCTCATTTCAGTGGCTACAATCCATCCTTTGTATTCAGTCTGTGGTTCTTTTCTATCCAGGTCATAGACGTGTTACTTTCTAAGAAGCTTTGTTTTGATGAAATGCCCTCTGCCAGGCTGGTAACTTTTGCAGTTGCCGATAACCAACAGCTGAAGTGATCAAAATGTAATGGTGCATTATTGGTAAAGATTCTCAGACATTTGTATTGACAGATAAAATGTATTATTTTCAACACTAAAATTTTAATTGTAGGTGTGAGGGAGCTTCAATACAAAGCTGTTGGACCTCCAACTTTTTTAAGCCATCACAGTAGATTCCAAGGTGCTGATATCTATACTTTGTGTTTGACATCTGGAAAAAAATTTAAATTAATAAAAAAAGAAAATTGAAAAGATTTCAGTGTCTGAATTGATCTTTGTGACAAGGACACCCCCTGAATGCAAAGCTGTAGAGCAGGGATGTCAGTGTTTCTGTTAATGTAATGAGATCTTTTAATCTCAAAGAGCAGCAACTTAAGCAGTATGTGGGGTTTGTTTGTTTTTTAACGTGATAATGAAATGCTGCATATTAAATGACATTTCTCAGGATGACTCTTTGGGCTTAAATTGTTAGAAGTTAATGTGTAAAGTTATGTCCTCTTTCATATTTTCCACAGCCATTCAGTGGACTGGAGTGGAGCATATTTCACAGTTTGAGTGTGAGAGGATTCCCCAACAGAGAAACAGTGAAACTAGCAGAGCCAGAGCTCAGCAAAGGCCAGAAATATTAAAGATCCTACTTTGTGCATCCTCAAAACACGCTGGCACTCCATCTTCTTGTGAGCCCTTGAGGGTCGGCCTCTGTTTCCTCCCAAAGTTGTGGGGGCCTGCTGCATCCTCCACATAATATCTGTGTGGCAACACTTGATGTCTACCAAGAAGAAGGAGAGGAGGCGGCACAAGCAGGACAAGCCGAAACAGTTGAAGGCACAGGTGCAGATGGGGAGCTTTCAGGAACCTGTGTCTGAGCCAGGCTTGCTGCACAAGTGTCTCCTGAACAGCTACCTGCATGATGTAGTAACGCACAGTGATCACACTACTCAGACAATGAGCAGTGTAGTTAATTACCTCCTCCAGAGAGTAGTGGGAAAGTAGTGGGTCTAAATGGATTTGGTTGTAGTCATAGAGATTAAAAATGTTTGCAGACCTACAGTTGCTGTGGATGTCTCCTGTACTCATGGAGCTGATACAAAAATAATGCAAATAAACAAGTGCACAATTTAAACTTAGTCCGACATCATTTCAGCATCTGCAACTAGTACAATTTCAAAGTATGAAGGTAAAACCTTTTGGTGGGAAGGTTTGGGGCAATTTTATGTGTTAAAAAATAATTAAAAATCTGCTTTTTTTTTTTGCTTTTTCACTTTCACCATCTTTCACTAGTGAAAGATGTCACAGCAGAGGTCAGAGGTGATGTGCGAGTGGGTGCACTTTCACTCACCTGCAGCCGTGCATTCGTTAGCATGAATTCTTGTTGCTTTTTTAAATTGTCATCCATGGATTTGGACAGCAGGACACCCATGGCTGCGTTGGCGTTTCTGTGAATTAAACACGCAGTCATTCAAACGTGCTGCTCTGCTCTCATCACAACAGCAAACAAAATTCCAGAGTCAGGCTTAGAAAAGCCACCTGCTTCAAACTGGATTTGTTTCAGCATGTAGTGACCTCTTCAGTCCTTCAGTGTCTCTTCACTTCAGCTTTAGCTTTAAGCCTCAACTCATTTTAAGCTTTCCCGTTAAGTTAGCGAATAACAACACGACTACTGTCTACACAGAGGAAGTATTTGCAGCCCACCAAAAAGGTTTTACCAGAGAAAAAGAGGGGAAAGTGTTTTTTTTTTTTAACTTTTACACCAATTCAGGATTTTTAATAATGTCAACTCTAAGAAGCATATTTGTTTACAAAATGGTCACAAATAACAGGAAAAGGCGTTGATGTTTGTCAGATAAGACGATGAATTCGCCTCCTTCAAAAATACTGTAAATGCTTCAGCTAGAACCACAGTTACTGCCAAATGCAATAAATACTGAAGCACTTCCACAGGTAAGTGCTTACGAGCTTTATCTTATGATTGCCTATCAGGTATGCTTTTTGACTTGTGCTATGTTTAAAGTGATAAATGTTACAAGGTCAACAGTAATAAAATAGCTGGCTCCTTTTTTTTGAATGAAGGTGATACATGCGTGCAGCTTCATGCATACAGAATGGATGAGGTGCTGCAACTGAGACCCGCCGTTTGTCTTTTCTGGTCGGCGAGTGGAGAATCGCACAGGCTGGTCTGCAAAGAGAGCTTTAGGATGCTTCCTCCCACTGTCCACTGCATCGTCCATCCACAGGGTTTGCAGGGCTGGCTCAACCCATGGCTGCCACACCACTAAGATGTTTTCAGAAATATGCAAGCATGCAACAATCATGTTTTACAGTCCTGTGGTCTCAGCCTCAGATACTTATTAAATCACACAAAGCTCATGTAGAAACAAACAAACGAACAAAATATGTTCTCCTTAATTTCTGTCAACCACACGTTTCCAGCTATCATGGTTGCTAGGCAACCTGGGCAGCGCGACGGAGGCTAGACCGTCCCATTTCACAAGCCTCGCACTTCCGGCCTTAGCGGTCTTTGAGTACACGGCCCTTGAGGACCATTGAAGCTGTGTACTTTAAGGCTGCAGACCCTGAATTGGGATACAGCCATAAAAACCATGAAAAAATATTGCCGTAATATGAAGCGATAGACTTTTTCATATCGTCATCCATATGTGTTGTTATATCGAACAGCCCTATTTTGAACTCTCCTCGTCCTTTGAGTGCGCGCTTTGTTATATAGCAAGGTATTTAAAATGAATAAATAAATATCCCGTTCGTTTCAATACGCATGATCTGAGCATGCGCGGAATGACACGGAGCTATTCTTTGATCTTCTCAAAGGGGAGACTGTGACGTGACGGTCGACCGCACGTCACAGTCTCCCGTGACGGTTGACGTCACCATCTCTGCCACATGAGTCTATAAATAGAGGTGCTTCAACACAGTTTACCTTTAGGACAGCCGCACGTAGAAAACAGCCTTCATTAATCTTGCGCGTGTAGTTAGCAAATATAAACAAATCACGTCTTTCAATCGTACAATACTGCAAGAATCAAGGAAAGCAATAGAGAACTCGTCATCTGTAAACATGTCAAACTCCGCTTGGGGCGCGATTTGCACTGTGGGCACTTATGGTCACAAAATTATGAGAAAAACGTTGGGATTTGGTGACCAACGTTCACCCACTGCTGACCAAACTGTATGCGAGGCACCTGAAGTTCGCTGTGGTAACCAAATTTTACACACGGAACATGAGGTACCATTGCCAGATCAGCATATACCTGAACCCCGCTTCAGCAGCTGCAGAGGACAGCATAATCAGAATAGCGGTTTAAACCAAGTGTGTGAAATTCTTCACCCTGAACATATACAGCAGCAGCCTTCTGTGATTCAAAGACATCAGCTATGGGAAAATACAAATCGAGATGCATCAGACCCTGCTGAATCCACGATCCCAGACCTAAGACCTAGTCCCTTGGAAGGGAGAGAAGAACATAATGGGATTCTTCATAGAGGGGTTTCTATCATCAGGAAAGGAACTGGATTTTTAGGACAATCCATTACCACAGTGTCCAACATGTGCAAGTCAGCAACTGTGGCTATTCATCACATGTTCTGGAAAATGGTCGAAGAGGTCAGAAATTATGTGGCACACCTGATGTCACGTGCTGTAGGATGTATTTGCGTTTGCCTTTACATTTTATTGTTCTTGGTCAACAAAATTGGAGCTATATTAATTTATTTACTTTCATTTTTAGCACAATACCTTTAATTTTCCTCTATGGAAATGGAAAAGGTGAAGACAACCTAATGTCAGTGCCAACTTTATTTGGCTCTAACTGGACTATGACGATTTTAATAGGGAAATAACTAATAATTGGGGTATAATGGGGTTAATTAGGCTCTTACCATCTCAGTCATGCAAACAACAGTTGAGAACCCAGCCAGTCACGGCAGAAGGCTGCTCCTTCCTGAGCCTGGTTCTGCTGGAGGTTTCTTCCCAACGGGGAGTTTTTCCTCCCCACAGTTGCCAAGTGCTTGCTCATAGGGGATCATCAGATTGCTGGCCTTGTCTCTAATACTGTAGGGACCACCTTACAGTTGTCTCTAATACTGTAGGGACCACCCTACAGTTGTCTCTAATACTGTAGGGACCACCCTACAGTTGTCTCCAATACTGTAGGGACCACCCTACAGCATTAGAGACAGGCCAGCAATCTGATGATCCCCTATGAGCAAGCACTTGGCAACTGTGGGGAGGAAAAACTCCCCGTTGGGAAGAAACCTCCAGCAGAACCAGGCTCAGGAAGGAGCAGCCTTCTGCCGTGACTGGCTGGGTTCTCAACTGTTGTTTGCATGACTGTATTTGCGCTTGCCTTTGCATTTTATTGTTCTTGGTCAACAAAATTCAAGCTATATTAATTTATTTACTTTCATTTTTAGCACAATACCTTTAATTTTCCTCTATGGAAATGGAAAAGGTGAAGACAACCTAATGTCAGTGCCAACTTTATTTGGCTCTAACTGGACTATGACGATTTTAATAGGGAAATAACTAATAATTGGGGTATAATGGGGTTAATTAGGCTCTTACCATCTCAGTCATGC